TCCAGCCAGCTCTGCTGGCTGGAGAATTCTGGGAGTTGAAGTCCACAAGTCTTAAAGTTGCCAAGGTTGGAGACCTCTGGCCTAGCTTGTGGTGCCACTGACATAAGGTGGCATGGGGCAGCTCCACCCATCCTCGCCTCACCTTATATCGGCGGCACTGCGAGCAAACAGATGGAATGGGCAGGAGGCTGCACAGGCGCTTAAGTAGGGCTTATTTTTGGGACAGGTCTTATGTTGGGAAAATCAGGGTACATTTGGCAAAATGAATGGTTCCCTCTCATATAATGTGAAATACGTTGTGTTTCTTGCCTTTCAGTGCCATGTTTCAATTTTTTAAAACTCTACTTTTAATTCAAGTTGTCCTTGATTTACAACTGTTCACTTAATGACCATTCGAAGTTACGGCAGCACTGAAAACAGTGACTTAGGACTATTTCTGACACTTATGACCGTTGCAGTATTCCTATGGTCACGTGCCTTACATTTGGATGCTTGACAGCTGACTCACATTTATGACAGTTGTAGTGTCCCAGGGCCATGTTTGCCTTTTGCAAAGTTTGCCTTTTGCAAACTTCTGACAAGCAAAGTCAATGAGGAAGCCAGATTCACTTAACAACCGGGTTATTAATTTAACAACTGCACTGATTCACTTAACAAATGTGGCAAAAAAAGATGTAAAATGGAGCAAAACTCACTTAACAAATGTCTCACAGCAACATTAATTTCGGGCTCAATTGTCGTAAGCTGAGGACTACCTATATTTGAGTCATATAATGCATTACCAAATTCAATGTTCTCACAAAACTAATTATTTCCAATATTTCAATATGGAAAAATGTGAATGAACTAATAAAGCTTAAATTTGAAAAATAGATTTCATTGCATAAACTGTAAAAGTGGAAATTTATTTCATTGACCATTTTGTTAAATATAAAATACTATATTAATTCACCTGACCTTTAAGAACCCCACCTACTTCATTTCCCAGTAACAATATTTGTGTGGTTTTCAATTTCCTTCTAATTCTGATATTAATTTCAGCATTCATAAATAAGATTCATCAACTAATCTGTAAAATGCTTCAAGATTATTCACTGTATTGTAAAGACAATCATAGGTACTGTTATTATGGAACATTCATATATGTGCACTATGAGTGCCTCTTATAAAATCCTATTGCTTTTTCAGTGCTCTTTCTGCTGAGAATAGTCTGTCTTTTAATATAATATGTAGAAAATAAGTATCCACCAATTGTTATCAGATTATTTTAACTATGATTTCTTAAATAAGCTGCACTGGTTCATTCATGCATAGGGCTAAGACAGTACAGCTGGGTATCCATTTCTAGCTAAGCCAGAATCAATTTATATTATGGATAAACATTTAATGGATTGAACTACTAAATTATTTTCTAGTCCTGTATATAAGTTTATACTGTATATACATTTGTACGAAAAAGGAATGTAATAGAATATTGGATGTTAAGCTTCTTTTTTCATAAATGAAGTGATTTTGATCAAATTACAATAAAGCATTTTCAATAGATTTGTATAACTCCTATATATCACATAATATAGAAGAGGAGTCAGGAAAATTAAGACTGAATTGTGAAAAAGCTAAAAGATAGTATCTTATGATCTAGATTTTTCCATGAAACTGCCATGTTTCTACAGGGTGATTTGCATTACTGGTAGATCTGCCCAGTCTAGTTTAAATTGTTTTTGATAAATGGAAGTGATTACCTAGGAATACTTGAATAAACTGAAATCAATATACTGAAGGATTTCTGCATTAGTCTTTCTGTAACAAGACATAAAAACAAAACACAAATCAAACAATAATTTCTTGGATGTTTTTCCACTCTGTATCTATTGTTGTGAGAATAGTAATCATTCAGGTCATTAGGACTTAAATTTATAAGTACTTTTTATGAGTTTCAAAATAAATATAGTCATTAAAAACATAATAATTTGTACTTTATCCCTGCTTTTATAGTTGAAATCTACATTTCTGCTGTTATTACTAGCCAAATTCAGGCAACCCGTCATAAAAATATCTATATAATTTTACAACTGAAGTATAAGAGACAGTATAACTAACTTTCAGTATACTATTAAGAGTTTTGAAATTGGATGAAAGTTCATAGAATTGTCTAGTGTGGGTCTTCAAATTTTGTTGATGATACAGTCATTATGTAAGGATGTGAAAAACAACCACTCTGCAGTTCTGGGCCACTTCATAGATGAGGTGGGAAGTATAAAATGAATCCTGGAATTGTAGCCCCACAGCACAGGAGAACTTTCATACTTCCTCTTTTGTGTCACAGCATGTTCTGGCTATCAAAAACCACAGAATGGCATGGGAACTATTGTAGAAAACTTCCTGTGGCCTTTCTACTTGGTTAGATATGCCCTGTATCATCCTGGGGATTTAGTAAAGATTCCTATCTAAGCTGCTTTAAATAAGTACCTAAAAATGCAATTCATTTTTGCATCTAAGAATAATAGACTACTTTTATAGCATTCACTACCAGCAGATGGTAAGGTGACTTCAGTTTAGTTCAGCTTACGTTACCTTATATAAAAATATAACACATACTTTGACCAAAATATATAATAATAATTAAACTGAGAAGCAGTGACAAATCCAGTTTGTATAATCTTTAAAACATCTGTTCCAGGAAGATATTTGATAGGAACAACATCATGGAATACATCTTAAAGTTCAAAATTAAAATAACTGCAGTAACACCCACGCATGATATCTATTTGCAGTCTTTCTGACATCATGAAATGGTATCTTTTTAAAGGGAAATCATAACCACATTGAATATCATAATGCTGAATAACCAAAGGGAGGACAAATAATTATAGTAGCCACCTGGCCTATATGGTCAAGACTGCTTCGTATGTTCAGAGCGACAAAAGCCAAAGTGAATGATAACTTTCCATTTTCTACAAGCAAGTAACAATTAAGTTTTTGTAAGAGTTGACTGCAAAGGCATCCACACAATGCATTATGTTGATTGCATAAAAGTCTGTAAGTGTTCCCAAAGACCTTATTAAATGGTATCAAGAAATGTGTTCAACAATGTTAAAAGGAAGAAACTTAATTTTACTAAACGCAGTGACATTCTATAACAATTCTGAGTGAAATTTATTTATTTATTGGGGTTCTTGCTGCCTATCTCATTAACAGGGTGACTCTGGACATTTTATTGGAGTAACATCCGGTGCACTTTACTCAAGTGTTTGCAGTAAAAATTACAGTATTTGTTATAAAAACACAGAGAAACTGAACTAGTTTTTTCCTGCAGGATTACAGCATGTGCTATGACCATGAATAAATACGTGGAGGAGAATGTTTCTCAGAAGTCCTATACTACTATAAAATATTTCATGAAAATGCTGAGCAGTGTCAGTGAAACTCTTATCTTTATTTTCATGGTAGTATCTACAGTAGGAAAAAACCATGACTGGAACTGGGCCTTTGTTTGTTTCACTCTGCTATTTTGTTTGATTTGGCGTTTATTAGGTAAGAGACACTTAAAACTTTCTAGATTGCACTTCAGGCTACTTTACTACTGAAATATGATTATCTTTTACATAATGGAACTGTATCTTTGACAAAGAAGTGTCCTTATTTTTAAGATGAAAGTCTTGTTTTTTACAGTGATAGAGGAAAATCTTTACAAATGACTGAGTAAACCAATTTTTGGTCAGTGAACCCAATGATTATATAAGGAAGGAAGAAGGCAGAATTTAGCAGGAGATAACCCATACATCCTATATAGTGTGAAAACACTAGCAGTACACCTCAGATTTTCAGCTTCCAACTAATAGGGAGTCTCTTCTTTTATAGAAATTCCTGAGGAATTATTGGCTTGGCTACCTTAAAACTGCAAAGGGTGGGGATGCTTTTAATTTGTATCCTTATTTTAAATTATAGTAAATATGGTATTTTCATTACAAAACATTTACACTTATATTAAAGAAAGATTTAAGCCATGATCTATGTATGTATCTACCTTTCTATAATACCAACAGAAGATTATGTCTTGTTTTTGAGGAATTGTTACCGTATTTGCCGGCGTATAAGACGACTGGGCGTATAAGACGACCCCCCAACATTTCCACTCAAAATATAGAGTTTGTTATATACTCGCCGTATAAGACTACTCCCTCTTCCACACACCTTCCACTTTTGCACTTTTTTTTTTTTGACGCACTTTTCTGCTTTGGACAATTTTGAAATGAGCTAATCCAATTTTGAACCAAGAATATGCAAATAGCTATGGAGTTTAGAAATGAGTTTTAAAAATATTTTTCATTGCTTACCATTAAGCGTAAAATGTTGTAAATAAAATGAGAACACAGGAAACGTTCTCTTCTCAATACAGCTGATCTCTCTCTCTCTCTCTCTCTCTCTCTCTCTCACACACACACACACACCAAAAACCCGGACACTGAAAAGGCTGCCAAGGAACAGTATATTCAATGCCTTCTCTTTAATCAAGAAACAAGGAATTCCTTAGAATCTTTTTTTTTCCCCAAGTGGCCCTCTTTAAAAAAAAAAAATGGAGGTAACACTTTCATTCAAAAAGTCTTCCAGTATCTGGAGTCGCTCAGACATATTGAAGTGAGGCAGGAGAGTAAGTGAAATTTGAAATGATCCAGCTACCGTTTTCTTCCCCTCCCGCCCGAAGGCCATTATCTCCACGTCAAAACGAACGAGGGGAGGCAAAGAAGCCAAACACGCTAAAAAGGATCTCTTTATTTTCCTACACAAGGTCACACCTACTTTTCCGCATTCAAAGGACAACTCTCCTCACCACCACCACACACACACACACACACCCCAATACCCGCAAACAATGTTCTGGGCATTAATCACCATTGCTACATTAACCTGGTAAATTTATACCCTGCCTCCCCCAGTGTTGCTTTGACGGCAGGATTTCACACAGCGGGGCGCTCGCTCGCTCTCTTCTCCGCTCTCCCACCGTTCGCACATGTTGGAAGCACCGTAAAACCTGATAACCCACCCGGGGGCTCCCCCATCCTTAACCTACAGCCGCCCGCATGCAAAACCTGCGTGCAAAAAGAAAAAAAGAAAAAGAAAAGTACGCCGCACGTGAGGATCTTCGAATCCTCTCCTCCCCACACCGCTAAGGAAGGAAGAGGGGGAAAGGTTGCGCAGCGCGTGGCGAGTGACACCCGACACACACACACACACACACACACACACACCGCTCCCCCCCCAGCCTCCCTCCCGGCTGCAACTCAAGCTCGAAGTGGGAGTCGGAGTCCTCCCGGCGTATAAGACGACCCCCCCACTTGGAGGCATGTTTTTCAGGGTAAAAAAGTCATCTTATACGCCGGCAAATACGGTACCTTAAAGGTAAGTATTCAAGCACATTTATTTACTGTATTTATTTTGATTTATGAGTTGTATAAGGCTACCCAATTGCAAGAGCAACTGTAGTTGATTCACAATTTGAAGAAACATGAAAATGAAGACTAAAAAATATTGTATCATATCTTTGGAATATTAAAAAGCCAATAGGATAATGGGTCAACAGGAGTAACTGGGACAAATGTATTGAAATATGTCATTTAATGATCTTATCTATACATTCATCCTACAATCTGCCTGAATGCTTGGGGTAAAGCCAAGTCATTGCATCTTTGCAGGACAAAACAGGATGTCCAAACTTCAGATGAGTGATATTAGGGCAACAGAGAAACCATATCCTTAACAATTTCATTAGCTGATATTGTTACGGAGAAAGGACCTTAACATGCTTTCTCCACTAAATGTCTTGGAATGAGTAGAGACAATTAGGGACAGGAAGTTCTACAGGTAACCTGGATCTCTGCCATGAAAGATTTTATAGGAGATAATCAGTACCTTGAATAACATCTGAAAGTTTATACGGAGCCAGTTCAGTTTGTGAAGCAGTGTGCTACCTGGGCACAATGAAGTGCATTCATAACTGTTCACACCACTGTATTTTGAACCAATTGGAGCTTCTGAGTGGTTATCAAAGGCAATTCTATATAGAACATATTGTAGCAATCTAGACAGTAGATGACTAGGGCATGAGTGACTGTGAGTCACACCCAGGAATGGGTGTAGTTGTATCAGCCTGGATACAGTTATAATAACAGAATCTTGACAGAATGTACTGTTCTTTTCCTCCTTCTTATATCTTAGTGAATTAGGAAAATGTCTTACCCACGTACGAACACTTTCTGTATTGTCAACTTAAGATATGTTTTACTCCTTGTTGCTTTGGTAATGGACTTGCATAACTCTGTCAAAGTCATCTTGTAACTTTGCAAACTGTCACATGATGTGCTTGTGCAGTTTTTGCTGCTTGTCCTTACCTGAATAATACAGATGGAATGCTAGCAAAATCAGAGTCCAAGAGGACCCCAATATTGCACTCCAGTTCTGGTTGGGAGAGCTATTCCTTACCAAAGTGATCTCCAAAAATGTACAACTCTTCAGTTTTGTTAGTGTTAAGATAAACTCTGTATTTCCCCATCCAGGGTACATAACCTTCAGGCACTAGAAAAGAATCTTGACAACCTAACTTGATTGGCCTACGATGGAGATGTATGTTATACGTCAGCATATTGATAATACCTCACACAATTCTGATGTATGACCTTACTCAACAATTTCACGAACTATAGATTTTAACTAAGAGCAGAGAGTGGGTAGATCCTGGGGAATCTGTAATTGAATTAAATATATCCTCCCTAGCAACACCAACTGGAAACAGCCATGGAAATAGGAAGAGAACAGTTGTAACGTTGTATATTCCATTCCTAAATTTTGAAGCTGATTAGGATACCATAATCATAATTGTATATGTCTGGCTTTTTTTTAGGAGTTTTTGCATTGACTCAGGTAATAAATATATTTCGGACAATTCCTATAACATTTAAAGACCAGTTCATTATCGCCTATGGAGGCCTCCGAGGAGCTATATGTTTTTCTCTAGTCTTCCTGCTCCCTTCTTCTGTATTTCCTAGAAAGAAGCTTTTCATTACCGCTGCTATCGTAGTGATATTCTTTACTGTGTTCATTCAGGTAAGAATATTTCCAATAGTTATATGTACAATATGACCAATAGTTCTTTTTCATAGAAAATATGCAATTTATCTAATTCATAATACTAAAAGTGTCACACAAAAAGAAAATAACAGATTATGCAGTCAGAAATTGCATATGTCCATGACCGAACATCTCAGATTTGTGCCAAAGCCGCCTTCTAGATCTCTTCATATTCACTGACAATAACCCCATCTATCTTATGAACTAGGCCTACATCTTCAGCTTTATTTCTGATGCATCAGTACAATGTGAAATCTTTCCCCAAACTGCATCTTCTTTCACAACAAAAAAATATATTTTTTCAAACATTTGTAGTACAGGTAGTCCTCAAGTTATGAATGTAATGGAGCCTGTCCATTCCATCTATAACTTGAGAATTCATGGGAGTGAATCTTGTGCCTTGCTCATACGACATCACTTCCTGCTTTCACTAATTTAATACGTGGCTCGTTAAGTGCATATGAGATACCTTGGGGTGGGGAAGGCCATTGGAGGCCTAGTGAGGAAACAGGCCATCTTCCTTCAGTCCATCCAAGGCCTCCCCTGACCCACAGATTCCTCATTCTCCATCCCCTGGGGTCCCCACAACTGCTTCCCCCACCATCCTGTCGCACCAAGTGATTTACTTATGAACATCTGTCTCCTCTCCAACCTGCTTCTTTGCCTGTCCCCTCCTTTCTTGTCAGCAAGAGGCTGCTTTCTCAGTGCTGGAGGCCTCATCAAACTGATCTGGGGCGAGAAAGCAGCCATGAAAGGCTGCACATGGCCTTTTGGAGCTGCTTTCTCATCAGCAAAGTGCTTGAGGATTGCATCCCTGTAGGCTTTGGCAGCCCTTTGCAAAAAGGTAGGAACAGGGCTGCGGAGGGACATGCCTGCTCCTCCCAAGCTCCACTGGTGTCAACAAAGGCTTTTTGCAAAGGGCTGGTGAAGCCTAAAGGAATGCAATTTCCCTGCAGGCTTCAGCAAGGAAACAGCAAACAGAGGAAAGGCCTGAAGGACCTAAGCCTTCCCTCCATTTGCAAATATCCAGGCCTCAATGAGGAGAGATTAGTGGGTAAAGTACGAGATTACACAATATCTCACGCTACTGATCTCGTGTGATCTCGCAGTACATTAGGCCTGTTCTCTGCGAATACAGGCAAAGAAACCATGATAAAGAGATCTTTGCAAGGTAAGTGAGTCTCCACGGGTAAAATGCCTGCGAAGATCTGGCAGGGGGAATAGGCAGGGTGAATGTTGCAGAGCCTCTGTAGTTTTTCATCAGGGTGAACAACTGCTGTGGTGCTGCAATATTCATAATTTTGGGATTTGTAAACGCTAGGAGGCCCTTGTTGCATAACCTCAGATGTTTGCTAAGGAATGCTCGTAACCTGGGGATTATCTTTATAATGCAGAATATGAAAATGACATCATGGCAAATCATGCTGGGCTGAATGTCATGCTTGTTCTGCTCTTCTGTACAGGGAATGACAATTCGCCCACTGGTGGAGTTTCTTCATGTCAAAAGATCAAATAAGAAGCAACCAGCAGTCAGTGAAGAAATCTACTGCCGGGTAAGTTAGCAATTTGAGGTGCATTACATGCCTTTTGGGAAATGCCCAGAACTATGTGTTGTGGTTCCAAGTAATGAACCCAATCGAGTCAGGACTGTGAGGCTTCAGTCAGGCACAAAAGACCTTTTATTGAGTACATCATTTTGGCATGTAGAAAGATTAAGCTAACTAAGTAATTCCCATACTTTAGGGTAGTTAAAAGAATAGAAACTTTCCGCCCACCCTCAGGTGTCCTAAGTCATGTTAACTAATCAGTTTGATAGGAGCTTCCACCTCGGTTTCAGCAGATATTTGTTGCCATGAGCTGTTGTGGTCCACCAGCGGAGCTGGCAGTAGAGTTGGACAATGGGGAGGAACAGGGGCCAGTCCTGGAGTCTGGGGAGGACTCGGACGAGGGATCTGCATCTGACACAGAGATGGAGCTAGGGCCATCTGAGAGTTATGTGCTGACTCCGGAGCCTCCAGAATCTGACATCAGTGAGGCAGAGGAACAGAGGGAGCCTATTCCCAGTGTGCGCTTGCACAGAGCTGCCAGAAGGCAAGAACAGTTAAGACAAAAGGGGCGGAAGGGGTAAGGCTTGGAGATGATAGGCCCTTCCCTTAAGACATAAAGGAGGAGCAAAGGGACACGAACTTTTGCAGGAAGCAACTTTGTTCGTTCTGGTTGGTTTAAACTCTGAAGCTCTGTGTTGACTTAGTGCTCCGTTTGGCCTTGTACAGCTAATTGGCAATTTAGTCGTTGGCAGTATTTCAAGGGAGATAAAGGTGGATGCTTATCAGCCTTATCCTGAAAAGACTGTGGCAGACTTCTATTGGGCTATTCATAAACTGTTTGGGACTCATTTACGGGCTATGAATGAATATAATTCACAGCTGTTGAAATGAAAAGAGGGTTTTGGGGACTAAGCGTGTGATCGTTACTGTCTCAGGAAGCCTTGGTTAGAATATGAGCTTGGTTCTCACGCTGAGCCTGGTTGATGTTTTGTCTAGCAGATTAAGGCACCACATTCCAATACCTTCTGACTCCCACCTTCCCCCAAGAGTGGCAACTGAGAAACAAAAGTAGGCCCGACTTTGGCTGAAGTCATTTTGAAAGTTGACACCATGATTCCCAAAGTATGCATGTTGGGATATTTTACATTTTTAAATTTGGACTTAACTATTTAATAAATGGAACTTTCAGGTACTTCCTTTGGCCTAGGGGCCCTGTGAAAAACTGAGATATGAATGGTGCCATGCACTGAGAAAAAGACGTACATCTAGATAACAAGCATCATGTTCAATTGGAGGGATTTTTTTCCCCAAGTGGTGATAATGTAACATTTATAACATGTTTTAATTCATTAGGTTCCATCAAGTTGGTGTTGACTCTTAGTAATGTATTTCTCACATTTATTGTTGATTTTAAAAACAATTGTATTGGATAACAATTGGGTATAAAATCCAAGATAACTTTTTCTTACAGAAGCAAGTCATATATATATATCTTTGTATAATAATAATGTAATGACTGGGTTTTTTTTACATCCTAGTTCTTTGATCACATCAAGGCTGGTATTGAAGATGTGTGTGGACACTGGGGTCACAACTTTTGGAGAGATAAGTAAGTAGCATATTTAGTAACGATCTAAAAGAACAAGTGGAAAAAGCCATGTATTATTTAATGTAATATTTAAATTTACATTACTAAATTTACAAACATATAATTCAATTTACTTTAAGAATTATTTCATTTCAGAAAACATGAACATTTAATTTTGATTTGTCACAAATTAAACATTCCATTTTAGTTAGAAACCAATTCTCTAAACGTCAGAATAATTTATAAGAACAAAGAAAATTTGCTGCAGTTTCAGTTCATTTTAAATTAATTAATAGAATGGCTCTTCCTTCTTACAGGTTTATAAAATTTGATAAGAAGTATCTAAGAAGACTTTTAATCAAGGAAAAACAACCACAATCAAGTATTGTTGCCCTGTACAAGAAATTGGAAATAAAAAATGCCATTGAAATGGCAGAGAATGGGATGTTAAGCACAGTTCCATCTCTAGCTTCTCTCAGGTAAGTAGAGAGAAATATGGAGAAGTATCAATGTCAGAACATAACTCTTAAAAGCACTGAAGTTGAATTCCTTACTTCCTTGCAGCCCAAGAAAAGATAAAAAGGAGCAGGCTGTTTTGTTTTTGTTTTTTACATTTAGGACTAAATGCTTTAACCATTTAATTATTTCTGGGATTTATTTCCTTTTCAAAAATTTACTTTGAAACCCTTTCATTAGTTAATAATAAAATACAAACATAAAGCAAATCAGAAGTAACAGCCTACATGGAAGTGAACGTTAGGAATGACATTTAAAATATTTTGTTTTTTATAAATCAATCTGGAAAAGGTTTTACCTTGTTGGACCTGAAGTGAACAGGGTCCTCAATGCTGTCAGCACCACCACCAGTCATTTAGATCCTTGTCCCCCCTTGTTGGTTGAAAGCCTCCATACAGTGACTAGCAGGTGGGTGCAGGCAGTGATTAATTCATCACTCCAGGGAGGGATATTTCTGGGGCATTTCAAGGAGGCTCTGGTTCATCATCTCCTTAAAAAAAAAACATTGCCCTCTCCTGCTTATCCTATTTTCTTCTTCCCATCTTTTAGCTGTTGCATTTTGTATTTTATATTTACATTTTTGCAGAATTTATTTTATATTGTTTTATTTTTTTTAATATTGTAAGCTACCCAGTGTTACCTTATAGTAAAATGGGCAGTCAATAAATTAAATAAATACAATAATAAAAATAAATAAATAAAATAATAAACCAAGTTCCTGTTGTACTCTTGCAGCAGTGCATAAAATCAGGACATTGCTCCTGTTTATACTTGCAACACTGGAGACCTCTAGTCATGAGCTACACAAATAGACAGACTTAATGCAAGTTTAACTGGGAGATTAAATGCCTAGAACAGCTTTTTAAAAAGCCTTCTCTTCCTCTATCCCCTTCATCTGTTACCTTCAGATTATTTTGGGAGTACAACTTCCCCAAATTCCCAGCCAGAAACTTCTGGCTGGGAATTAAAGTAGGGGAAACAGAGTTATCATTGAATTATAGACTGAATTGGTTTGTTTGTGCGTGTCTAGGTGTTTTTGCATGCATGTAAGATTAGAGTTACAGATGATTGTATTTTCTATAATGAAGAAGCATAATTAGGGATAGAGACAGGAATATATATATAAACTACCTTAATCCAAGATGGAAGTACAAAGAAACAAGCAACCAAGAAGAACCCTCATGAACATAACCAAAAAGCAAAAATACTTAATAATGGCACTCACAACTGGGCCTCAAACCTCACAGAACAAGAAAGACTGCTTTGAATTGTTCATGAAATATCAGCAAAGTGAGGGCTCAATTGTGGATAGGGGTATTACATACATAGAGATGATCATTTCAGATGATCATTTCAGAAATTCACAGTAATTTAAAGTGGGCTATAAAGGATTAATATAGAAAACTTTTACTGCTTCAGCTTTTCAGAACAAAATTTATATTGATATTTTGATAATATAAAATATATTTAAATTTAATTGAGTTAAATGTGTTAAAAAGCATAGTGTATTATTAATTCTATAATCAGGTGACATTGATGTGAATTATGGATTTCAATTAAATCCTCAAATATTCATGAATGAAAGAATCTATGGATCATATCTACTTGGGAAAATTGTAGATTTATTTAACATTTTATCAACTTGCACTTTAAATAAATTGCAGAACCACGTTAATGATATGGTTAAGTTAATACTAACCAAATTGTTCTTTTTATGTAACATATGATAAATAAGTTTTCTTTCTTTTAAATTATTTTCTATCTTTGAAAAAATGTATAATTCATATTATTCCAATGGATGATCTGTATAATCCTATATTTTATCCCCTGTTACAACAGTGAGCCTCAAGAAGGAGAAAAAAAACATGAACCTTATTCTGGCCAAATGGATAACATAAGAGAGATTTTAACAAAGAATCTGTATCAGATACGGCAAAGAGTAAGTAGACAACAAGATATTAGAATAACACCTTGGTGTGTCTACATCTATATTCTCAGACAGTTGTTTTTTCATTTTCCAATAAAAACAGTAGCATGCTAATTTAAGATGTGTACACAGAAATAATTTCAATTACAACCATTGGAATTTATCCTCAAACAAATGTATTTAGATTTATTGAGTAAGAAAGGTGATGAATTGCTATGCAACAAAGAGAAATTATGTTTATGCAAAAAGACTTAAGAAAAGCTTGAAACAAACAGCTGGAACTGTTTTGAAATATGTGTCTCTTGATGAATACAGGCTGAATAGTCAAGACCTTGTTGATGATCCAAACTCTGTCAAGGATCTCGGAGTACTCATCTCAAATGACTTAAGTGCTAGAGCCCACTGTAACTACATAGGCAAAAAGGCGTTAAGAGTTGTTAACCTAATCTTACGTAGCTTTTTCTCTGGTAATATTACACTAATAACTAGAGCATACAAAACATTTGCTAGACCAATACTTGAATACAGCTCATCAGTCTGGAACCCACATTACGTATCTGATATTAACACAGTTGAGAAAGTCCAGAAATATTTCACAAGAAGAGTTCTTTACTCCTCTACTCGTTGTAGAATACCTTATGCCACCAGACTCGAAATTCTAGACCTAGAAAATCTAGAACTACGCCACCTTTGGTCCGATCTAAGTATAGTGTATAAAATCATACATTGCTGTGTCCTACCTGTCAATGAATACTTCAGCTTCAACCATAACAACACAAGAGCAAACAATAGATACAAACTCAAGGTTAATCGCATCAAACTTGATTGCAGGAAATACGACTTCAGCAACAGAGTGGTCAATGTCTGGAATACTCTACCTGGCTCTGTGGTTTTTTTCCCCAAACCCCAAAAACTTTAACCTTAGACTGTCTACTATTGACCTCGCCTCTTTCCTAAGAGGTCTGTAGGGGGTGTGCATAAGCACACCAACGTGCCTACCGTCCCTGTCCTATTGTTTCTTTTATATTTTTTAAAATTTTTCTTATATGTATCCATGTATGTTTTTAGTTATACCTATTATCTTGTAAGCAATTGACAAATAAAAAATAAAATAGAATAAATAAATAAATGTTAAAATTGAGTATACGATACCTGGAACATCAACACAGCATTATATGCTGGATCAGATATTTGAAGGCTACAATGTAAAGATGAACATGCAGGCTACTCTTCATACATGTAAACATATGCCACATTTCCCCCAGTGATTTCTGCTGGAATGAAAATGACGTGAGCCTTGCTCATCTTACATTTAACATACAGAAAAAAAACCTATAGATTTCTCATTCACATTGCAGTAGAAACATACAAATTTTTATTTTGTTTGCTAGGAAGGACAGATACATGTAAAAGAACAACAAAATGGCTGAATGTTCATTGCCAATGCAGAGTTTCGTGATTCCGTGTGTGCGTGTGTGTGTATGAGCGTGCGTGTTTTGGTGGTGGGGAGAAGAAACTGATCAATTCCCCTTACTCCTAGCAAAAACCCACCCAGGGGTATAACCTACAGGCCATTAGTCGCTGTTGAACAGGTTATCTGAGGCTCCATGTGGTGAAGGATAGAATTAAGAGTTTGTGTGATGATTGTATTTTTTCACTGAAATCAGATTCAACGATACTTCTGAATACCCAGGGAAAATTCCCAACTCAATCAATCATACAGTCAACTAGTACTGTATGCTGCATGTCTTGAAAGTTTTATACAATCATACAGTCAACTAGTACTGTATGCTGCATGTCTTGAAAGTTTTATACTCTAATTTATCTCAAATGAAAACACCATCAAAGTGCAAACACTTTAATCTTTAAAATACAGTCCTATCCAAAGGATCCCTGATAATGTGTCTTTTCCAGTAGAAGCTTTAATTGCCTGGGACAGTTTGCCTGTTGGTTTGGGATGATTATTAGCATGCATATTTCCATCCCTAGCCAGGCCACAGATACCATGAAAGTCTTGATCTTGTGCCTGGAGGCTGTAGAAGCTTGGTAAGATGAGGACAGAACTGTCATTTTCCAGTTATAACTCTGGATGGGACATTATTTCTTCTGAAGGAGTAGGCATCGGACAGTTGACCTCAAACCATGGCTGCTGCTGGATGCCATAATCAGGGAACCTTTTGTCTGACTTTGGCTGGTACACAATATTATTGATATTGTTCATATTATTTATTTATTATATTTATGAACTGCCCCAATTAATCAATATAACCCAACAAAATAACAACCATAATAATGTAGTAATAGTCATACCTGAATATAATATGCATATATTTATCCACTATCATCCTTTATCAATCAGGGCCAATGGTACATTGGCAAAAAAAAGCACAGCCTTGCAAAAGGCAAGTAGGGATGGGCCACAGAAACGTCTAGGGAAATGTACGAGTAGAGAAATGTGATCATATCTGTATCACATTAGAAGTAATTGTGCAATGAACTTTATATGGGCATGCCTTTGAAGGCCAATTGGAAACTGCAGTTAGTGCAGAATGAAGCAACTTGCATGCTGGCACTTGAGAGTCCTATTACACTGGAATTACCCCAGTGCTGTGATGTTGCCTTTGCTCCCAATAGGCTTCCAGGTAGAACAATTTAATTTAGTATTTCAAGTTCTGAAGCCTGCAGACTTGGCTCCTGTATATCTTCAACTCAAATATTTTTACCACTGGTTCAGTGGGCGTGGCTTGGCAGGTGCACTTTGCGTGTGTGCGCGCCAAATGCGCATGTTGCACAGGGGCAGAGGTGTTCCAACTCACCTCCTGCAAGCCTGCACTCTCCTGGTCACTTCAGCAGCTGCTGCGCGGCACTTCGCTGTGCCGCGCAAAGCAGCTGCGCTTCAAATTCAGAGGATAAAGGTGAGTATGGGAGCCCGGGTGGGCCCAATAGCAGAGCAGTGGCGACAACTGGTTTGATCTCCACTGCTCATTGCCGCTACTGGCTCAGCAGAACCGGGTCAAACTAGAATACCACCATTGCTTCATCTCTTGATCCATTTGGCATATTTTTTTCCACCTGAAGAAAACCAGACTCCTTGTCCAAGGATTGGGGACTCAAAGTATTCTTCCATGGTGGAACAAAACTATGGACCACTATAACTCAGAGGTTCAAATAGCACTCACCCATGGCCTTTTAATAAGATTTGGAAGACAGAATCTTCTGCAGAGCAGTTAATGGAGGGCCTGTTTAGTGTAGTGGTTAAGGTGTTGGTTTAGAAACCAGAGGACTGTGAATCCCACCTCAGGCATGAAAGTTGGGTGGATGACTTTGGACCAATCATTCTCTCTCTCAGCCCAATCTACTTCACAGGATTCTTTTTGTGGGAAAAATAGGAGGAAGAAAGAGTATATGTTCACTGCTTTGAGTTATATATAAAGTAATGAATGCAGAATAAAAAGCTAAGTACAAATTGAGGCTTAGAAAGTGTGGAAATTTTATTCTCCCAATATCAATTAGAGAGCATCTCAGCTGTCTGGAAAACAGTTTAGAGATGTTTGCCTTTTTTATCTAGCCATAGTGGCGGTGTATCTCTATGCCTCATCTTACATATCAAATAGGCTGGTTTATATAAATATTGTCTGTAAGATTATTGACATTTCTGATATTTAACATCTAAGTTATTAAAATAAATTGTGGTAGTATAGAAAGCTATCAAAATAATAAATTACTTTTGGAATATTACATCATTTTCAGGTTTTACATTATGCTAATTATGCTTTTAAGTTATGTTTCTGATCAGAACCACCACTATTAATATATTTTTAAAGCATATATTTTCTTATTTGTTTGTTGCAGACTCCATCATATAATAGATACAGTCTCGCTGAAGATGCAAATGAAAAACAGGCCAAAGAAATTTTGATTCGTCGCCGACATAGCCTAAGGGAGAGCATTAGGAAGAGCAACAGTTTGTCAAGAACAGTACTTATATATACATATATATTTAATATATTTTAAATGGGATTTTATTAAACAAAGTATTTTACTATATGAATGAAGCACTTAGGCCTCTAAATGATTCTCAATAGGTTGATCCTGTATCACTAATTACTGATTCTTTTTCAAGATAACACAAGATAACACATGAAACCAATGAAAGATATCAATGAATAAAAGCAGTTTTTTGGGGACAGATGCTATACATCTTCCATGGGAGAGCGAGAGTGACTACTGTTTTGGTTTCATACTCAAATATTTATTTCTTTAAAACAAGTGCCTCTAAATGTTTTTGTAAGGACAGCTATTTCTACTTAGTGGAAAACATGTGAACAATTAAAAATATATAAATATATAAATATATAAAAATATATACAAGATATATCAAAATATACATGGATTAGTAAACCAAACATCTGCAAGACTAGGTTTTATTAGTCATTTTATTAACATTTTGGAGGAATAAAATTATTACTTAGTCAAATTAAGACTAATCTTTATCTTTATTTCAACATGGAGACTAAAACTAATTCATTCTTTATGGAAATAACACACTCCTTTCTCCTCTGCTCTGATTTGCTTTTACAAATTATTGTACTGTATGGGGTAAAAAATGATATTACAACTGGAAATGAATTTAAAGGAATCATGTTTAAATAACTCTTGAGCATATCTAAAAAACATGAGTAGCACCAGCCACAGTCTTCGTTGCTCCAAAGTAGTAAGATTTAGCTGCCTTGCTTGTATGGCCTTCAAAATTTACCCTTGTGCTGTTTGCTTGAACCTAATAATTTCAGATACAGAATCTTTGAATCCTGCTGGACCAGCTAGGCAGAGAAGGGAAAGTTCTGATGAATAGACTCCTTGTGCTGAATGATTTTTCTTTATGAAAAAGTGAGTTAGAGTGAGACTAAATGAAGTATAGAAGACAAAGGAAAATCTAAATTCTTAAATCTAATTAAATCAGTTCTGTGTAGGCTCTTCAGCATATGGACTTAAAAGCTGTATAGCCCCTAGTTGCCAGGCCCTTTGTTCTCTGATGGCAGGCTAAAGACCAACCCTTTCCAAGCAATAAGTCTTTCTCTGGTAGACTTAACACTGAGTGACATTTCACCCATTTAATACAGGGAAGTTACTGTATATAGAGTTCTCTATGTTGCTCTCACAAAGAGTTTCACTTGGTGAGCTACTATTAGATGTTACTATTACCCTCGTTTAATAATTACTTTTGAAATGTCACTTGAAATACAATTTAAAAAAAAAAAAAAAGAATTGGAGTATCCTCAGCCTTTAGAAGCTACTCCTATGGGTGACTGTCTACCTCTGCATTTCCAGCAATCTGATGTTGGGGAAGCTTTGCATGGAGATACTTAACAGATATCATTTCAAGGAGAAGTAGATGATTTTAGGATCATTTAAAAGATAATAGGATGTTACTGATTTTGGATTTTTGCTCTGGTCTTAATTCAAAAGCAGTGGGTGATTGATTAAATAGAATCCCTCTTTTCTTCCAACCTAAAAGGGTGGGAAGAAAAATCGAAAACATGGAAATTGTTAGAACTACATGCATGTATATCTTTTCCCCCCTATTTTAAAACAAATAGAATGCTCCTTACACAGATTTCTATTAAGTGAGAAGCTATAGTAATATTTGAGTTGTATGTATTTCGTTCTGCCTGAACACATTTTATGCTTCTTTTTGCAGGTGCACATGAAATCACCACGTTTCTTATCACTACCTAAAAATACTAAACTTGCAGAGAAAACACGGAAAAGAAATCAACCTTCCTTTAAAGGTAATGCAGTTTTGGAATAAAAAGAAGAATGAATTATTCAGCATTTTCACTGCCATATAATATAGTTAATTATATTATAAATTGTTCTTATCCAGTTCTATGCTAGTTTTATGTTTTGTATATTTATATCAGATATAGTTTTACTACCATTTTAAATATGTTCTTCCATGTCTTGATTCTAGAAAGCTTTTCCCTGATTGTAAGTTTTAATTTTATCTATGACAATATACAAGCAAAGATTTATTTAGGCATGATAGAACAGATGGCGCATACAGCCTTCCATTTTGACCCTAGCTATCTATAGAAATATGGGATCTTTGCATACATGCACACATATATCCCTGAATTTTTCTTCCTCATTTATAGAACGTAGAACTCAACTAGGTGCTCCTTTTTATTTGGCCAATGAAAACCATTGTAAAGAATAAAGTAAAAAGTAAAAAAAAAAGTGTGGTCTTGATATATTTATTTATTAAATTTATTGGCTGCCCATTTTACCACAGGGTAACTGTAGGTGGCTTACAATATTAAAAGGATAAAACTATATAAAACATATACACAATACAAATAAAAAACTATAAAAATTATAAATATTCAACCCTAACTGAAAAATGGGAAGGGAGGGAGTAGGATGAGCAGGGAGAATGTGGGATTTGTTATTAATCTATCAACCAGGTGCGATGACACAGAAGGCTCTTCTTCTGGACTTCAATAGCCAGAGTACCCTGGCAAATGGCATCTGCAGCATGCCTCCTCTGCCGGCACAAGTGGGGCAGACCAAACCCCATTGGCATGTCTCTCAAATAACCTGGACCCATGCCATGGAGATGATTACCAACACCCAGAAATGTGTAAAACAATAAAAAACCTAACTAATATAATTCCCATTCCAACCTTAGCAAAAATGATGGAATTGAATTGTCCCTCATACAGTTTTACAGTTGCCTCTGGTAAGTGGAATGATCTGTTCCAGTGTTGGAAAACCTCTGGCAGGGGTGTTCTGAGGATGGGATTGGGCATTTGCAATCAGAATATTTCAGTATCAAAAGATGTACAACCTACATTGCAGATATTCCCTGGAACGTATAGAAGAGATGGTAGAGTATTGAGAATTATGCAAGCGACCCACAACTGCTTGGGATTAAGCCTGTTAGTTCAGTTGATTCCACGTGCTTCTTCCTATTCTAAAGAACTGCAAAGGATTTCTGGTTTCTCTCTTGTCATTTGTCTATGTTCTCTGTCATGTATTTGTCTGTCGTGTACAATTTGTTCCTGATTGAGTTGATAGCTCAGAGTCTATTATTTGTTTATGCCTTCCTATCACAGCCTTTGACTGTTGCCAGTTTGAGGAAACTCCAGGATGTCTCTTAACAATTTGCCTTTTCAGCATACAGCATATGGAACAGGTTGTAGATAATGGTAGTAAATATGCTAAATAAAGCTAGCCAGCAAGCAATTTTTTCATATGGTGAATATTGCCAAATGATGTCACAAGCATTAAAAGAATTAAACATTTAAAATAAATGTTTTTTTTTAAAAAACATTAAAGTTTAAAAAAGATGGGAGAGTTTATTTTGCATTTCAGCCACATTAGGTTACCGGACTAAACATGACAAGTCAACAGTATTTTATGAAAGAACCTATTTCCTAATTTATATCATCATTATTACATAATCACTTTGGAAGAAACCATATATAGATTTTGGGTTTCTATGTCTCTTTAATTCTTGTTTGTCTCTTCCTTTGTAAAAATAAACTATGTACCCTGCCATAGACAGTATTTACATTTCTGATTCAGTGCTCATGCAATTAATTTACCCAACTACTGTATTTGTTTCTCTCCTTTCAGTGTTTTTGTGTAGTATATATGTGGATTGTATTTTCTTCTCCCTCTTCTGTCTTATCTAATATACACTTCCTTTGTCAAGTTATGTAGTTTGAATCCATCATGTTGTTCATATTGTTTGTAATAAAATGTGCAGTCAGTTATTTTAATAATTGACTATTGTGTTCTTACTCATTTCATACTAGAGAGGGACCCTAATATTACTTCATTAATTTCTTACAGTATCTGTGTCTACCACAGGGATACTTACAGACTATAACGATTCATGTCAATTAAGTGCCTGTGAAGTTTTACACCATACCTGTATGTTTAAGGACATGTACTATAAAGTGTACTGTATAGCACAATTTCAGCATGATTGCAATGCCTTCTATTTTCTGTCTGCAAGAGGGAGAAAATTTTGCTAGAATTTAGTAGGTTAAGATGGGCCCATGTGAGAGTATTTGGCTGAATTGAGCGAATACTGGATATGACTATGATGGCATTATCACTGCCTATTATTATGCACGCCCATCTATTTAGTCCTGTTGTTGATTATTGTCCCATTAAACAAAGAAGCCTGCAAAACCTGTTTGGCCAGAAATAAGAGTAGGAGATTTATTGAAGATTTTGTTGTAACACTTTCAATTCTGTAAAAGAAACTATTGTAGTTTTCTTGAATTGCTTTTCAAAGATAATAACCTGAACTAATTTGGGGATGTCCAAAGATTTGAACAAGTCCTTCCCATGATTGGATTAGATTATGTCATGAACTGTTTTTTAAAATGGTTTTGCTTCCAATACTATTATTCAAACAGCTATATAAAGGATTACAAGTTCAAAATATGTCCATATATTGCAATTCCTTGGATCTCAAACATAGATTTGTAACATTGTGTACTTTCACTATTTATTCTAATATTGCTAATATTTTTCAAATGCTCTCACTAGAATATGTAGTAACATATGCTGCTGGAAAGTGTGTCATGTGGACATAATTTTCAAGCAAAGAAGAGTCTGTAGCCTTTCTCTTTGAAATGCCTGCTTTGGTAACCTGGGGAACTTAACCAAATGCTAATACAAATCTTGCATTATACTAGGTTTATACTTAGGATGTTCATATTTTAAAAACTTGTTTCAGATACATACAAATTTAAGTTTCCTTTGGTGAAAAATGCTGAATGATGACAATGTCGTGTCCTTTTAGCTGTTTCTTTTCATTGTGACAGCTCCTTATATTTTAACACAAGTATGATGTTGCTTATTGTCCTTTTTTGCACTAGTGTTTATTTAAAAGTTAGTGACTGAAGCAATGAAGTTCCAGAGCACTACAATTGTTTGTATTGTAAAGTTATATAATAGGAAAAAACAATAGTTTAGTCTTTTATGAAAATGTAGTCCAGAAAACTGTCAATCAAAATGATTAATCTGGCAATGTTGGTTTGTGTTTAAGTACAACTGTCTCTTGATGAAACTGTGACGTGAGAAGGTGCACTTCAGTTTTTTTGACAAACAACTTTTATCTAGTAATCGAGATAAATGTTGTTCATTATAATTTTTGTAGTAAAAGTACCAGTTCTCAGATAATATAAGCAGCTTTGCTTTAAATTAGTAAAGATAATACTGATGATGTTAAGTATGCAAATGAGGTAAAAGATGGCTTAGATTCCATAGCTAATTTGTGCTTTAAGGTCATTCACAGAATTACTTTTTCCTGTTATTTTTCTATATTGGATCTATTTATGGCCTAAGGTGGTTAAAGGTGGTACTAACCTTTCTTTTCACAGACTCCCTCTTTGGGAAATCTCATTTGAAATAAATAATATGCAAAATTGGCACTGAACAAGAGCGTGCCTGGAATTTTAAGCAGATCAGAGGTTAAGTGTGTCTGTGTTTACAGGAATATATTAGCTTCATTATACACATTATGTAAGCCAGAAAATGTGGATATTTAGCAATCTGCCATCCATTGTGTAGCATCCTATGGAAAGATTTACATATTTATGTTTATTAATCAAAGTTATATAACCACTCATCTCATGAGAAGTGATTCTGGGCAATTAAATATGCTCCCACTCAGTGTACCAACCAATGCACATTGCTCTTCTCCTTATGCAATTACATTTGTTAGCAAAAGAATATCCAGTGAAGACTACAGTTCCAATTGACTTAATATACTTAACATTCTTGAGAATTTTATGTTTTTGTGCCATAACCTATTGAAACAGTATATTATTATATTGTGTATCTACATACCTATATCTATCTATCTATCTACCTATCTATATATTTTAAATTTGCAGTAAGTGACAGCAGTGATTCTGAATCTGACCATACCATGGTGCTGAATTTAAAATCCCAAGCGGGAAACATTTTGAGAGATCAAAGACTTCGTCAGCAACAATGCAGAATTGAGTGGAAGAATGAAACGGGCAGAGACAATGGTGGTACAGCGAGCTACCCTCAAGGAACATCAAGATGCTTCCGGCAACCACTGTTGCCAAGGCCAGCATTTGGCATAGTGAATGAAGAATCAACTGAAGATGACAGATCAGTCAAGCCCCTGCCACCACCTCGATTAGCCCGGCAGGCATCAAAAGCTGAAAGGCCAAGAGATAAATCTGAGAATAACCATAGCAATAATTATTAAACAGATATAGTACTAATACCCAAACAATACATATAGTAGACTACTAGCGTGATGTAAATGGCACTAGGGCAATTGGATTCAAAACCTGGCCCTATACTTGTGCAGGGTGGTTAGGAAGGAAAGAAAATCTAGACAGAAATCAAGTAGGAAGAAATTCTTAACTGCTCTAGGACCAAATAATGTAAATTATACAATGAAGACAACTTTGATCAATTATTATATATTGTATGCCTGACATGTGAGTTACTATCTTCAAGGGAAAGGCTACCGGATCTGAATTGTAAAAATCCAGACCATCACAAGAGGGTAGCCCTAAACAAAGCCAGATTTTAATTAGGAATTGCACTAAAAATTTCCCATCCTGTTAAAATATATCCAATGTACCAACATACAGTTAGGGGCTACTTTAAAGATTCCTTAAGAACAAACAAGGTTATCTTGATTTGTAGATACAATCTTTGTACATGTACTCTGTAGGTTCAAAGAACTTACTTTTAGGTAAACAGGAATAAATTTTGCACATTATTAAAACTGCATACTTGAACCACAAAGCCAATGACAGCAGTTGTCAACTTTTTTTTTTGACAATCTTTTACTCCCTACATTCACTCATCTGCTTTGCTATTTCTTATGAATCACAGATCTGTTCACGGATATTCATAGGAGCTTGTATGGAGGTTCCATCCCTATTTGTATGTCCATATGCAACGTGATCTGTACAAATGGGGCAGGGGGACTTGGATCACAATAGCACAATGCTGCTTTCATCATTTTGCTCCTCTTCCTCCCCCTCCACATATATCTAGAAGGTACAATCCTCTGTAAACCATTGCTTACTGTTTCTGTCTATATTATTTGTTAATAATGCATAGATTATTCTGTTCAGCAACTCATGTAATATTCAGGCTGCCTTCAAAGTCCAAATTCTAATATTCTGTAGAAATGTAAATAGCACAACAACTTGTTTTAATCATCATGCTTTTAACTAAGTTAATGGTCTTAAGTTTATTTATTTATTTAAACATATTGAAGTTATTTTAAAATTATGTGTCCCTAGATAGAATTTTTTAAAAAGCAGCAATATAATTAAAAGAATCTTTGCTTTTAAGACAAACAGGAGTGCCTTTAAAAGTCTTGCTGTAATACTCTCTTAATATGCACTGTTACTAATGATCTCTTTTCTTTGAAAAGTTTTCCATTTGAAGAAAAAAATGAATGAAATGCACTTATTGTATATACATTTAATTACAAACCAGAAGATTATTATTAGCTTTATTGATTAGCCTGTAGGCCATATCAACACAAATCAAAAGTGTGTTCAGCTATTGGTGCTGATAAAATGCTCTTCTTGATAGAACACTAGAAATATAGACTTAAATTAATCAGTATTTGCTTTACAAATGAAATTGTCCTACAGAGAGTAAAAAAATGCAATGGAGTTCCAGAATATGTGATGGTGATAAATAATACTTTTGACTTAGGCTGCCTAAGCATAGTAACAATATTGTGGTGCACTGTTGTTTGATGCTGTTGCTTTGAGCTGAAATCTAGTTCAACATTAAATGGCTGAAAAAAAAGTCTTTAGTGCCATCTATTGGTAAATATACAAATTAACTTTCTTTGGTCTTTTAGAATAGAAAACTCTTCTTATTCAACATAAAAGACATTGTTTTAAATATATCAGCAATCAGCGGATGTTATTACTTTTAGTGCAGGTCATGTACTATGTTCTCTGGAGAAGAATCTGATAATATTTTGACAACATAAAATTTCATTGGACTTTTGGATGGACATTGATAAGATGCAATGGGAACAAATGTTCTTTATCAAAATAATTAGGAAACAGGATAAAGTAATATTTGTAGTATTTGTAGAATTAGCCAAATTGACAATGTGAGAAAATTCAAACCTAATTAATTGGCACAATGTTAATACTTTGACATATCATCTAGCATATGGTAAAGTCGGATGTTATATAGGAACCCAGCATGCTTGTCCTGTTGAAATTACTATTAACATTCTAGAAGTGGTTTGGAGTTTTGGTGTACATCAAGACACTATACTTTAAACCATCTTTCCTGCTCCTGTAATTTGATTCATATTTGCATTACAGGCTGTCACCTACTAATGCCACATGAAGAAATATTTGCTAATTATAACCATTTTGACTCAGCCACACAGCTTAATAAGAGTGGTTAAAAATTCAAAACTCATAAAAGAACTTAAGAATTGAAGGTCTCATATTATTTTGCCCACATTTATAATTTTCATGTTTTATAGTCATTTGGAGTGCTGCAAGAAATAATTCTGCCACATTACCACAATCCTTGCTGACTGATGGAATTTAATGAGAATTTGGGGTGCTAGAAAACGAATCACTATTTTTTATTTTTATTTGTTTGTTTGTCAAACATACAAGATAACAAGTATAGGTATGAACATAAATATGAACAAAGGAAGTAAATACAGATATATGGTGACAGTAAGATAGGGACGGTAGGCACTCTGGTGAAGAATGGGTGAAGTCCACAGTAGACAGTTTGAGATTGAAGCTGTGAGGGTTTGAGACTGTAACAACGGAGTCAGGTATTGACCACTCTTGCTGAAGTCATATTTTCTGTAATCGAGTTTGGAGTGGTTTATCTTGAGTTTGTATCGATTGTTTGCCCATGTATTATTGTGGTTGAAGCTGAAAAAAATGTTGATAGGATCACTAACATTAAGGTTGATACAATTTACATGGTTAACCAAAACCAAACTGCACAACCAATTCTGTACGGGTCAACATTAGCAGAAAAATCCTTTTCCAAGTTCATATATTTTGAAAGCATGGACCCTGATAATGGAACGCTTGCAGAATGAAATTTCTTTTCTACATTCAGATGAAGCTGAAGCTCTTGAACATCTTTTTTTTTTTGCAGAAAAGCTATAATAATTATTATGTTGAAGCCTTAAAAGGTAAATTTCCTGCTAGTGTTCCTGTATGCCCTTCCTATTTTTCTCCATGAAGATAAAAATGTGGAGATGTTGCAAGATACAGAGTTTTGTGGTAGCGTATCTCATAGGTAACAATGAAATTAGTTTTTGTAGAGGAAAAATATTGTGTGTGAATATTTGTAAGAACTCACGGAACAGAAAATGTCATTATCACTGAACGTAATCATCACTAAAAGAAGCATTTTTATTGTATTTCGTTTATTTGTATCCTACCTTTATTATTTTTACAAATAACTCATATTGAACACATCTTCCTCCTCCTATTTTCCCCACAACAACTTATGAGGTGGGTTGGAATGAGAGAAGTGACTGAGCCACCTGGCTTTCAAACTAGGGCAGAACTCGAACTCATGGTCTCCTGCTTTCTACTCTGATGCCTTAATCACTAGACCAAAATTTTCCAAACTTTGTTATTAACTGCAGTACACATGCATGCAGTACATACATTCACACCTCAATATTCCAATGAATACACCAACACATTCACTATGCCTCTCATATCTCATATGAGCCATGGTGGCGCAGCGGTTAAAATATACAACTGAGTTGAAAAACGACTATATGAAGGAAAAGTGAATGATCAAGAAGGAAGCAAAGACTGATAATGTTATAATTTGGTTGAACTAATGAGAATCTCACAAAAAGAGTAATAAAAATGGCAATATACAAACCAGCATATGATTGTGACAAAAGCAAGAATGTTTTGCAGCAATAGAAATATAGCAATAATGAGCACTTAGACTTACAGTATATACTGCTTCACAGTGCTTTACAACCCTCTCTAAGCAGTTTACAGAGTCAGCATATTTTCCCCAACAATAATTTTACTAACCTCGGAAAGATGGAAGGTTGAGTCAACTTTGGGCCGGTAAGAATCAAACTGCCAAAATGCAGGCAGGCAGCAGAAGTAGCCTGATTACTGCATTCTATCTGACCAAACCTCAAAGTATTTCATCCACAATGATAACTTGTGTTCATTCATGCACTGCTAACTGTATCTCCTATTTTACCACATGCAGCTCTTAGCACCCCATTTCTACTTCATGCTACTTACTCTGATATTTAATACATAGATAATTCTCATTCCCATACAAGTTGACCATTTGGTTTCTTTTAATAAACATTTGTTCTTCACAAGAGAACACATACTTGCCTACTATTGGTACCTTTCTAGCAGCATTAGCACATCCTAAAAAATTTCCAGCAGTTTTCCTGTTTTCATAAATATTTCACCAAAGGCACACAGATTTACTTTTTAGTTTTCATCATTTACATATAACTTCTAATTCATTCAACTTTCCTAGTCAAGCACTGCTACCATGGTACCCAATGTCTTATTTTTCAGCTCAGTACTCCAGATTGCAGCATAATCTAACAATTGCTACAAATCAACTGTGTCTTCAACTAACATTATTATTAGCATATAAAAATATGTACAGACTGACATTTCCAACAAACACAATTCTGTCAACTGAAGCATATGTTACATGTTGGTCCACGACCAAGAAGAGATTGCATACTTGAAGTACTCCATTCTCAATGCTGAACCATTAATTAAGCATTCAATTTATCCTCATGCAAACTTTTCTGATACATCACTCACACTGCATTCAGCAACTGTGTTTCAATCCATATCTAGACCAAATATTTCAGAATTCAAGCATTAACACTTTATATTTCTTCTAAATCAACAAGTGTACAGTGACTTTCTCATTCATTTCATTCGTTTAATATCCATTGCAAAGCATGAAGCTGCATCGTTGCATTGCATTTCCCCAATTTTGCTCAGTCACTTGTTACACTTTCAATCATAATTCTACTGAAGTTTCCCAGCCATTTTTATTATTATTTTTATAAATAAAGTGGTGAACATATCTAACACTCTTTCCTCCTCCTATTTTCCTCACAACAACCATCCTGTGAAGTGGGTTGGACTGAGAAAACATGAATGGCCCAAAGTCATCCTACTGCTTTTTCATGCCTAAGGCAAGACTAGTACCCAGTCTCCTGGTTTCTATCCTTGCATCTTAACAACTATATCAAACTGGCTGTATTTTAAAAGCTTTAAAATATAATTTGAAACTTCTTTTTAAAAATTTTAATTTAAAATTTTTTTAAAATAAAGTTTATTTTTACTTTTTTTCTCATTGCCTAGGCCCTAGGGCAACAACAAGCATTCTTCCAAATGTTATTTATATACAGTCTTTACCGATACATTAAGCCAACTCTATAACCATTCCATGAATCTATCGTCTAATATTCTCCTGTTACACTATTTACACCTCAGCCTTACCCATTCTTCAATCTCCCACAATATTCACAACACTGTGAGGATGCTAGTTGTCACTTTTAAAGTTTTCTATGGCACGGGGGCCATATTACCTATCCCCAAAGGCTCTGCTGTCCATGAGATCTGGAAGAATGGGCATGTTCCCAATCCCATTGATGAAGCGGTGTTTCCTGATGGGCTCCAGGAAGATGCTAATGACAGTACTGGTTAGTTTTAGCATATTTGGCCAGTGTGCCACAAACACAATTGCTCATTTTTATTTGAGCATGTTAATGCCATTTATTTTTATTTTATTGTATTTTGTTTATTTGATTTGTCAATTGCTTACAAGATAAATAGATGTAAGGATAAACATGAGTAAGAATACAAGAAATAGGTATGAATAAATGGGAACAATAGGACAGGGACGGTAGGCATGATGGTGCACTTATGCACACCCCTTAGGAATGGGGTGAGGTCAATAGTGGTTAGTTTGAGGTTAAAGGAGTGGGGGTTAGAGGATGTAACAACAGATTCAGGTAGTGCATTCCAGGCATTGACCACTCTGTTGCTGAAGTCGTACTTCCTGCTATCCAGTTTGAAGCGATTTACATTGAATTTGTATCTGTTGTGTGCTCTTGTACTGTTGTAGTTGAACCTGAAGTAGTCATTGACTGGTTGGACATTGTAGCAGATAATTGTGTGTGCTACACTTAAGTCTAACTGTAGACAGCAAAGTTCAAGGTTGTCTGTCCAAGCCCAAAATCTCAAGCCTGGTGATATAAGGTATTCTGTTGTGAGCAGGAGTGTAGTATTCTTCTCGTGAAATATTTCTGGACTTGCTCGATTATATTAATGTCTGATATGCAGTGCGGATTCCAGACTGATGAGCTTTATTCGAGTACTGGTCTGGCAAAAGTTTTGTATGCTCTAGTTAGCAATTCGATATTTCCGGAGAAGCTTCGTAAGATTAGATTTACAACTCTTCATGCCTTTTTGGCAATGCTATTACAGTGAGCTCTGGCTCTTAGGTCATTTCATATGGGAACTGCAAGGTCCTTGACAGAGTGAGGATCATCAACGAGGTCATATCCGCCTAGTTTGTATTTGGTATTTTTTTTACCAATGTGTAGGACAGAGCATTTGTTGGTCGAGATTTGGAATTGCCAGATGTTTGACAATTCAGACACATAATCAAGGTCGCTTTGAAGGATAGTAGCATTGTCAGTGGTGTTGAATAGTTTTACGTCATC